TTACTGCAAAAAGCAGACATTAATGGTGAACCAAAAGACCGTTACTTTTTCTTAGACAATTTTCTCCTTTGGAATGAGTTTTCACCTCTTTCTTGAGAAGAATGTAGAAATACTGGGACTACATTTAATAGCAATAACACTCAGACTTATATACCGCTTTGCAGTGTTTTACAGCCTTCCCTAAGCAGTTTAGAGTGTCAGCATCTTGTCCCCAACAATCTGGGTCTTCATTTTACTAATCTCAGAAGGATGGAAGGCTGAGTCAACCTTGAGCTGGTCAGGACTGAACTCCTGGCAGTTGGCAGAATTAGCCTGCAATATTGCATTCCAACCACACCACCACTATGGCTCTTATATAGCAATAACACTTAGACTTATATACCGCTTTGTAGTGCCTTACAGCCTTCTCTAAGCAATTTACAGAATCAGGGTATTGCCCCCAATGAGCAGGTCATAATCGAACTCCTGCAGTTGGCAGAATTAGTGTGCAATACTGCATTCTAACCACTATGGCTCTTATATACCAATAGCAATAGCACTTAGATTTACATACTGCTTCACAGTGCTTCACAGCCCTCTTTAATAGGTTTACGGAGCCTCTTGCCCCCAACAATCTGAGTCCTCATTTTACCAGCCCCAGAAGGATGGAACAGAGTCAACCTTGAGCTGGTCAGAATCAAAGTGCCAAACTGCTGACAGTCGGCAGCCAGCAGAATTAGCCTGCAGTACTGCACTCTAACCACTGTGCCACCACAACTTAACATCTTAAGAAGTTCAGAGGAAACCTTCTCCGATGCTCTCTCACCTGGAGGTCATACTTTGCCATAAGGACAGTTGACTTGGCCCACCTGCCCTTATTCTGGTGTTTGAGGCTCATCCTCTCCTGTAGAAAGAAAGACAGAACGGTCAGCATAACGGAGCATTGGTGCCCCCCGAAAACCAAGAACGCCTGCATGATTATCTCCAAACAGAGAGTCCTCATTTCAGCTTTGTTCGGAAGAAGACCAGCCTGACCTCAATCCGGGCTTTCTCAATCTTCTCCAGCTGTTCCAGGGCAGCCTCCGGGTTGCATTTCCGCAGCGTCTCAAACTCCTGCAGGACCTTCCGACTCTTCCCCTTCCTAACCATTTTGTGAAACCTGGGGGTGGGAAGGAGAGGAATGCCAGGGAGGTAATCAACCAAGTTGTGAAGAAAGAGTCGCCGCCACTTCTGGATACGAGAAAGTCAACACAAGCCAAGTGGACAAAGCCTTGGAGGAGAGCCAGGAACCCCTTGTCCAACTCTGGATGTTTTTATATATTACATCTCCCATCATACAGGTTGTCCTGGACTTATAACTATAATGGAGCCTACAGAACCAACAGAAATTGTACTCATGTGACTGTGGGATCCTGAAACGGCCATAAACACAGGCTGGATGCTAAGTACCGTGTTTTTCTCTTCTATATTCTATTCTATCCTGTTCTATTCCACTCCATTCCATTCTATATTCTATTCTCTTTTATATTCTCTTCTCTTCTAATTCTCTTCTACATTCTATATTCTATATTCTATCCTGTTCTATTCCATTCCATTCCATAGTCTATTCTATTCTCTTTTATATTCTCTTCTCTTCTAATTCTCTTCTATATTCTATATTCTATTCTATCCTATCCTGTTCTATTCCATTCCATTCCATTCTACATTCTCTTCTCTTTTATATTCTCTTCTCTTCTAATTCTCTTCTATATTCTATATTCTATCCTATCCTGTTCTATTCCATTCTATATTCTATTCTCTTTTATATTCTCTTCTATGTTCTATATTCTATTCTATCCTACCCTGTTCTATTCCATTCTCTATATTCTATTCTATTCTCTTTTATATTCTCTTTTATATTCTCTTCTCTTCTAATTCTCTTCTATATTCTATATTCTATTCTATCCTATCCTGTTCTATCCTGTTCAATTTCATTCCATTCTATATTCTCTTCTCTTCTCTTTTATATTCTCTTCTATATTCTATTCTATCCTACCCTGTTCTATTCCATTCTCTATATTCTATTCTATTCTCTTTTATATTCTCTTTTATATTCTCTTCTCTTCTAATTCTCTTCTATATTCTATATTCTATTCTATCCTACCCTGTTCTATTCCATTCTCTTCTATATTCTATTCTATTCTCTTTTATATTCTCTTTTATATTCTCTTCTCTTCTAATTCTCTTCTATATTCTATTCTATCCTATCCTGTTCTATTTTGTTCAATTCCATTCCATTTTATATTCTAGTCTCTTCTCTTTTATATTCTCTTTTGTATTCTCTTCTAATTCTCTTCTATATTCTCTTCTCTTCTATACTCTATGCCAGTGGTGGCGAATCTTTTCGGCACCGAGTGCCCAAACAGAAAAGTGCGTCCATGTGTGCGTGCCGGGGCACCGAAAACCTGAACACCAGCTGGCTGGCATGGACATGCCTGTTTTTTGGCCATTTTTGAGGCCATTTCTGGCCTAAAAAATGGCCTGAAAACAGCCTGCTTTTTGACCGTTTTTTGGGTCTTTTTCAAGTTGTTTTTGGACCATTTTCCGGCTGGTTTTTGGGCAGTTTTCAGGCTGTTTTCCGGCCATTTTCTAGAGGTTTTATTGCCATTTTTTGGGCTGTTTTCCGGCGCTCCAGCACCCGCGAAGACCACCCGGCTGGTGCATTGGAAACCATAAGAGCAGATGGCAACGGTGCGCGTACCCCAGAGAGGGCTCTGTGTGCCACCTCTGGCACGTATGCCATAGGTTCGCCATCACAGCTCTATATTCTATTCTCCTCTTCTACCTGCCCCATTCAAGGGAAGCACCAGTTCATTACATTATAACACCTTCCCACCTGTGGCTTTCCAACGCTGCTTACTTTTTACTCTTTATTTTCCCTTGCCGTCGGGCTTTTGCTTCGTAATAGGACTGCAAAGCCCGGGCTCTCTGGAGCTCCATTCTGCGCAGCTTAGCCTGGAATAGATGGAAGAAGCACAGAAGAGCTGGCTGGTAGTTCTGTGAGGTCCCAGCAGAGTCAAGGTGAAGGAGGATGGGATGGGCTCAGCCATGCCAAAGGTTTACCTCTTCCAGGCTCATGGCTTTCAACGAGACTTTTTCCTGGGGGGTCAAAAGCGGATCCTTCACCGGCTGCTGGGCTTTGTGGAGAAGGCTGAAGATCTCGTGCTCCAAGGGGGTCCGTGCCTGCAAAGGGGGCAGGTAGGGCATAAAACCACATACGTTCTGGCTAGGTTTGACGGAGAAAGGTGGCTGCTGTTGTTAAAGGCAGACTACAGAAGGGTGTCGGACTATCTTGGTGATTTTTAAAGTTAGCTTAAAGTAGGATCCCGGTGGACTTGGAGATGATTGAGTGACCAAGAAGTGTACAGTATCTGTTCCCTTAAATTGACTGAAATTAAGAAAGTTGGAGATAATCAAAATATTACAGATATAATCCTTGACTTTTGACCGTTCAAAGACCTACTACGGGCTTACTTATGAATTGGATTTGAAGTGCCAATGGTTTGTCTCCCTCTCTCTCCTTCCCTCCCTCTCTCTCCCTCCCCCTCTCTCTCCTTCCCTCCCTCTCTCTCCCTCTCCCTCCCTCTCTCTCTCTCTCCTTCCCTCCCTCTCTCTCTCTCCCTCCCTCCCTCTCTCTCGACTTTCTTGTTTTCCTTTCTCATCCAAGAAGCTTCTTCAGCTCTGACTGGATGGTTGGGAAGGGAAGGATTAATACCCCTTGCAGACTTCCATTCCCCCTCCCCCCCCCATCCAGCCAGAGCTGAAGAAGCTTCTTGGATGAGATGAGAAACGTCTTCAAAAGAAAAAAAAACCCAGAAAGTCCAGTTGCTTCCTGAAAAAAGCACCTTTGGGACAACCATGACCTGGATGACTGAGAATCTCTACAGACTTTTCGGGTACTTGGCAACATGGCCGCATTTATGGATTAGTATCATGGGAAAATTCAGCCAAGTGGTGAAAAACTCTGTGATAAAAACCAGGAGATTGGGAGCTCTAGTCTTGTCTAAGACATGGAAGCTACGTGTGTGACTGTGAGCCAGTCATTCTCTTTCTGCCCTAGGCAGAAGACAAGAACAAGCTGTTTCCAAAATGTTGTCCCAAAATTGCAGGGGCTTTTTCAGGTAGTTGCCTGGAGTAAAGTCTGACTTAAAGAAAAGAAAAGAAAAGAAAAGAAAGAAAGAAAGAAAGAAAGAAAGAAGGAAGGAAGGAAGGAAGAAAAAATAAGAAGCACAATCACAACTCAACTTCCTGTATAAATGGAACCAACCTCTCTCATTTGCTGAATCAAGAGCTAGGAAAAGCATGTTAAAATGGTCAATACAGCACAGGCAGCAGTATAATCCTCTGAAGTCTGCTATCGAGCGCATGCTTTGTGTGCCTGAGGCATGCCCGCACAGCGCTAAAAAAGGAACATTTTGAAGCCTTCCGAGTCTGCAAACATAAGTAGAACAGGAGGTGGGGCGGAGGGATCCGCTGTGCCACGTGATTTACATTAGCTAGAAAGCAGGAAATCTGACGATTCTAGCTAATATAAATCACGCGTCACAGCTGATCGTTGCCAACCTGATCATCGGAAATACCAGCTTGCCCGAACCGGTAGCATTTTTTTACTACCGGTTCAGCCGAATCAATCCGAACCAGTACCATTTCACCCCTGAGCACAGTGTATATCTTAGGGGATAACCACATTGCTGCAGCTATAGAACAGGTCGACTTTAATGATCATAGGCTCCACATAACACTGACCTGCCAACCCGAGATCACTTCCTCAATGGGCGCAATGCTCACGCTCTCCTGCTGAAGCGGGAAGATCAGCTGCTCCGCCCGACGATTCTGCTTCACGACGGGATCCCATTTGTTCAGCGCTTCGGCCGTCTGAGTGTAAGCAGCTTCCCTGACCACCTGCAGACAAACAGGATACCCATTGGCCCCAACGGTCAAAGCATTCCATTAAGGAGACATTACAAGGGTCAATTATGGAAGCTCATTTTACTGCCCTTTTTTTTACATTCCGAATTTAATTATTTGATTCTTGTTTTTGTTTTATTATATATATTTTTTATATATAGTTTTGGTTTTATAATATTTACTAGCTGGAAACATGTGCTTTACGACGAAACTATGATGGGGCAATGCAGGAGAAATCCAGTTCACTCCGGTTCAATCTGTTGGCTCAGTAGTAGTCGGTGACTGAAACACATAAGAGAATATCACTCCCGCTGTCGAATCCAGAAGCAGCTCCTTAGGTGGAAGGCGTAGACATTTTGGTGAGATACCAACATTTAGTAGTGTAAGGAGCCCCAGACTGTTCCTGAGTGAACAAGTGGAACATCTGCTAGTTTGAACTGAGGTAACGAAATGTGAGGCCACTGGCAGTTGGAATAGAGTTCTTTTCAGGTGGGGAGGGGGAGTAGAACTCCTTAGCATCAGAGCGTGTTAATTACTNAACCCATGACAAAGAGGATGGGGAGAGAAAAACACTCCAGCGGTTAAGCTGAAAAAAGTAAATATGATTTGGCAAGAATAAAAGGAATGAGAAGAACCACATATCATCCTGAGCTCCTTTGAGAAAAATCAGCATAGCTTCTTCAGAGCTGAAGAACTGTTTCTGAAATTTTCCCAAAGGCAGGATTCAAGGATCTCTCAGAGACGGTTCTTCAGCTCTGAAGAAGCTATGCTGATTTTTCTCCCAGGAGCTCAGGATGCTGTGTGATTCTTCTTCCCATTCCTTTTATTCTTGTAAAATCATAGAAGGCGGATTAGACAAAACACTGTTCATATATATTAAAAAGTTGAGTCCGTAGTCTTTATTTTGCTTTTTTCATCTTAACCGGTGGAGTATTTTTCTCTTCCCATGCTCTTTGTCATGGGCTAAAATCCCCCTCGAAGGGTTGCTGAGCCTTAAAAAATAAAAGTGAATCTCGGGTGCTTGCTGTTGAACAGAGCCAAGTTATTTTGAGCCTCAATTCTGAATTTGAGTGGGTCTGTTGATGGCTTCTTCATCAAGCCCATCCCCAGCTTTATTTGTTCAGGATCCTAGTTGGGGAGCCGGGAGGCTGTGGGTGGTGAAGACTTTGCAAAACCAAAGCTGGAAAAAAAGAGAAGGGTTTGGGGTGTTTTTTGTTTTGGGTTTTTTTTTTTGGTAAATGCTTTATTCTCATTGTCTGTGTGGCTTAAAAGCAAGTAGGCGAAAAGGTGGGGCGGAAAGAGACAGGAGGGAGGGTTGATTATTAACCATTCTGGAACCGGATTTAGTAAGGAAGCAGATGGGTTCAGTCATTGGGTAACTTTGGAGTGAAGTACTAAGGCCAGTGTACGAAGGTCTGGGTTTGGTCCAAAGGCTTTGTGCTAGACTCAAATACTCTGTGTGATGCAGGGTGTTAACTTTGTGATGAGTGCCTAGAAATCCATGCAGCATTTTGCGGTTACAAATGGAATGTAAGTGATGAAATATTATTTTGACTGGATTGGGCTTTACCCCCTGTAGCACAGACTGATATGTCAGGAGGAGGAAAACAAGCCACACAAAACGCTACTGTGGTTCTTAGGTTCTCTTGTTTATCCTCTGAATCAGAGCAAAAGTTTGCCAGGAATGCAGTGAGGTCCAAGTAAATTTGGATTGTTTTAAACTAGCTTTGTTTGCCAGAGGATGTCATGATTGATTACCCAATACTGAACCAAGCAGGTTTCTTTCATACCAAGGATCACGGCACGTATTCTTTCCTTCTTTGTCAGGCACTTGTCTTGCTTAATGAAATTGTACTGTGACTAAAGCTTTAAATGTAGGATGTGGGTGTGCCAGAAAGAGTTGGCTTCCAATAATAACAGCTTGGACCAATTTCCTAATCTTAAGTGCCTCCTGAGGAGTTGCGTTGACCTTTCCTCATTGCTTACTTTTCCAGGGGCTGAGGCTGGATTGCTGAGGATGGTATGTGCTTCCCGGTGGCCGGAGTGGAGACAGGCCATTACCGAGTTACCCCACCTTCAGTGAAGGTGCAGCCATGTCTGTCCTGATAGCAAGAAAGAAAGTGACGCGGAAATGGGAGAAGCTGCCAGGAAGGAATACATTCTGTTGCGATGGGCGCATTATGATGGCCCGTCAGAAAGGCATCTTCTATTTGACACTCTTCCTCATTGTGGGGACGTGCGCTCTCTTCTTTGCTTTTGAGTAAGTTCATCATGATTGGCCTGCTTGCTTGCATGTTTTATTCACAAGACTGGAATTCATTAACAGCCCACATTCTTATAGATCTAAGTGCTGCTTGAGCAAGGTCCCGAATATTATCTGGGATGCTGCACTTGCTCTTCACAATCTGTTTTCCTTGTTGCCTTCTAGGAGGAGACTTTGTGATATCCAAAGGAGAACATCTAGATTCAATCACATATTTGTTCCATAGAGCATCAACCCTGTGAATTCTCAAATTTCTTCTTTCCACTATGTATTCAAAATGGATAGTGATTAACGTGTGTGTGCACACACATATGTGAATATACATACGTATGTATATGTATAAAGCGTGTGTGTGTGATGTATGCGTATGGGTAGATATGTACTTTCTTGTGAGAGCAGGCAACAGAATTTCATTTTTAATGTGTGCCAGTGTGTTCACAATAAAAAATGACAAGATTATCTTATAGTTGCTGTAGCACAGGACTGTCAAACTCCCAGTCCATGGGCTGGATACGTCACCTGCTGACCATGCCTACGCCCGGTTTAGCGAAGGGGGAAAAAGTCCCAATATGTCATGTGACACCATCCGTGACAGTGTGAGTTTGACACCTCTGCTCTAGCATGCTACAGCCCATTGGGCTTCTTGCGGAGGTGGATATGCTTCTTTTTGTCTTGATCGCTTTGGATGAAAGCGACAAAGTTGTCTGTTTTCTCCCTTCCCACACCAGTACATTCTTCAAAAAGAAGTTGGTCAAAGCAGAACATACTAACAATCAATCTCATTTATTTTGAAAAAGGCTTTGCTAAACGATGTCAAGAACTTATCTTTTGAAAGATGCTTTCATTCTTGTGGTTTCTTATTTAAAAGAGCTAAATCAAATGAAGGAATTTAATACGGTAACGTTTAATGCCTTGTAAAAAGTGAAGAAAATTCTTGGATCCTTTCCTAGTACGGAATACCGTGTCAGATTTCAAAGATATTTGAATAGTAGAGATTGGATGCACTTGTTCAAGAGATGTGATTTCTATTGTGGATTGGGGAGGATTACTGACCAGAAGGTCCTCTTTCTCAGAATATGGTCCACCTTTGGGAATATTCTGATAGGAATGGCTTAGAGTATGAACTTAGGAAATGGCATAATAAAAAGAGGTTGTGTTCTGCCAATAATGTTTGTAGCATAATTTGCGGGAACCTTTTTTGGAACTGCTTTGTTGCGAGGCCAGTACGCTAACGTGAGTTTATCTGAAATTTATGCACTTGCCTCATTTCTCAGATTCATAACTTGGTCAGTTGGCCAAAGGAAGACTCATTTCTAGAAAAGGATAGCAGTAGACTTATATACCGCTTCATAGGCCTTTCAGGCCTCTCTAAGCGGTTTACAGAGAGTCAGC